CCCCTTTCTCTCTTTTCATAGCTCTATCCTATTACTTGTTCATGCATTTCTCCATCCACCCATCGCTGACCTACTTCTAGCTGTCAGGAGATCTGCATTTCAGGTATAATTTTTTAAAAATTTTGTTTTGTTTTTTTGTTGTCTGTCCATCGCTTTATCCATTGAATTTTTACTTGTCTCTAATTCATTCCTCTATCCAAGCCTTCCTTTCATTCATCCATCCATTCATCCATCCATCCATCCATCCATCCATCCATCCATCCACCATCCATCCATCCATCCATCCATCTATCCACCCATCCATCTATCCATCCATCCTTCCATCCGTCCGTCCTCCCATCCATCCATCCACCCATCTCTTCAAGTCTTAGTGTGACCACAGGTGATTTGCTTTCTTCTAAAATGTCAAAGACTCTTCCACTCAGAGAATAATAATAACAGCAATAGTAATAATGATAATAATAATAATAATAATAATAACAGTAATAGTAATAGTACATATCAAAGTGTATCTAGTTTGATTTCACTCTCTTACGTCATTAGACAAAGCTTGTCAACGTTTGATTTCACATATTGATTGTTTAACAAGCCTTAACATTATTGTTGTTAACACTGTTAATTCATTTTATTGTTATTGTGGGTCTGTTTGTGAGTATGCGTATATTATTATTGTCATGTGTGTTTGTGTTTATTGCTGTGTGCGTAAGAGATCTAATGTTTAATGCACTTTGATGTCATCGCGTATATACATATTTGATGTTTAATATCGCTCCCTGGCGTCATAACAGAAACTCGAGGTTTAATGTCACACACTGACGTCATGTCACACAGGTTTAAGGTCTAATGTCACACTCTGACATCATATCTCAGAGGTTCAAGGTTAAATATCACATTCTGATATCATATCACAGAGATCCAAGATCTAATGCCACAATCAGACGTGATATCACAGAGATTCAAGGTTTAATGTCACTCTCAGACGTCATATCACAAAGATTTATGATTTAATGGCACACTCTGACATCATATCTCAGAGGTTCAAGGTTAAATGTCACATTCTGACATCATATCACGGATATCCAAGGTCTAATGTCACACTCTGACGTTATTACACACAGATTCGCCAGGAGAAGGACACTGGATGAATACATGAAGCTTCGCGGAGCCCGGTTCAACTTAAACAGGCACACACGTGACCAGTTTGACCGCTGGGACCTTCTGGATGAGATCATGGCAGAGATCCCTGGCAAAGACAACTACGGTGCTGTGCTCAGAGACTCGACCTTTAACCTTAACACGCTGGACGTGCACACTGGGCAGGTGAGTGTGCTTGTTTTCGCGGTCGCAAGCAACTCACTTCAATCGATCCAGTGTTGTTGTTGTTATGGATCCAGCACTATAATCAGAATTTTGAGAATTTTCAAATTTTAGACCCTCATAAACCTCTTATCAAAGATATACCTTTCAATATCACCAGAATCCATTGCTATATGGTCAAAGCTTACTATGGTCTTGCTTTTCATGATTTCTGAACGGAACAACGTAATAAAAGACTAGTTTTTTTTGTCTCGGGCGTAAATAATACCCAAACGAACTTAAGTGGGTTGCTTGCGAAACCAACGATGTGTTTTAAGCCCCTGTTGACACAATTTAGATCATTTAGGAGACAGGCTTCTGACCCTGCCTGTCAGGGCCAACACGGGCTGAGAAGGATAACGCATCCCAGCAGAAAGACTAAGATGCTCAAAGAAATGTCTCCTCATTCGGGAATCGAACTCGGGTCTCCTGCATGTGATAGCAAAGTGCCTGCCTAATCACTACACCTCAGACGCTGTTAGTGACTATTTTGCCGCAAGTTGTTTGAAATATACTAGACCCATAATACTTTTTTTCAAGAGAGAGGGAAACTAGACTGTTCATTATTGTGGAAGTTCTACCTACATCATATATTATCATTATCTTTCTTTGGTTTTTTTTTTCATCATTTACAATTTGAATTTCGATACAGCATTTCTTATGCACAAGCAAACAACTAAACACATTTTTAAATGCAATTAATTCAAACCTATTTTTTTTGTTGTTGCAAATTTGGGCTCAGTACTTCTGAACAGCTGACCGACCTGTTGTTATGAACATACTTTTCCGGTCTGTAACTGTTTGTTTAATAATTGTATTCGAGATGTTTTTATAATTCTACATTGAAAAGTAAAATTGATATAATTTGGTCTACAACGTTGAGAAATGAATGATACATCAAGGCAGTGACGATAAAAGAAAGATGGAAAGCATCCCAGTAGAGAAATAAGTTGCAAACCATGATCGCTGATATCAGTTTCAGACCTGGCACTCCATTCTGACGATGGAAGGGTTGAGTTAAGTTTCCCCCTTATGGTTAAAAAAAAAAATTGTTTATATATTTTTTTTCGACTTTCGTCTGCCAGAGCTTAAAAGGAGACAAAAGAAACCAATTTAAGATTTTAAAAAATAGTTTAAAATGTTCTTGCTCATTAATAAATTAATTTGCCAATGTGCACATACTTTTGCACAAGCGTTAATCAACTAGCTACTTGAGCTGAACATGGTGTAACGCAAGGCAAGCTCTTGTATCTCGCGTTATATCATTGCCCACTCGTGGGAGAAAGCGGGAGTACACCACTTTGTCGGGGGAAATGTGAAGCCACCACCGGAGAGGGACAAAGAAAGAGAGACCTAACTGTCAGACAGAAAAGAATGTTATCGCAGTAAGATGCAACGCGAAGAGCCCCATCTTGCAGTCTTGCGCCGATGCAATAGGCTCCGCTCCCAATGATTCCTGTCTAGCGTGTGGGTCTGTTTATGACGTCAGTCCTGACGACCTGCAGCACGCACTGTATGAGTGTCCGCGGGGGGAAGCACATCGTGGCCCACTTATGGAGAACAACGCGAGACCAGGCCCGGATGTATACTGGACAAGGCCACTAGAGGGTGCCTCCTACCTGTCTGTCTGCCGCAGAGGCCAGCCGGTAGAAAAAGAAGATGAAGCCGACACCACCTAGCTACATCAGAATTAAAAGTTCTATCTGCTCAGTAGACCTAGTTTTGATAAATTTGATGTTTCACAAGATATAAAGCTTTCTAAAATGCAATTCTGTGAATATCTTAATACCGACTCCGAATAATCTGACAATAGTGATAGAAAAGACAGAACATTTATTTGGTTTCTTGCCTCAAGATCTCAATATCTAATAACGGCCAAACATGTCAGATAGAACTGTTATCAAAGCTGGTACCTTTGACAAGTTCTTTCTCCAGACAGAGCAGAGCGCATGTTGAATCTATACCCGTTGAATCTAAACATGATCAATTTATACTATCGTTAAATCTAAGCATGTTGAATCTATACTATCGTTGAATCTCAAACCCGTTGAATCTAAATATACTGGGATTTAAACATGATGAAGCTATACCTTTTTAATCTAAGCATGTTTAATCTATACTATCGTTGAATCTAAGCATGTTGAATCTTTACTATCGTTGAATCTAAGCATATTGAATCTATACTATCGTTGAATCTAAGCATGTTGAATCTATACTATCGTTGAATCTCAAACCCGTTGAATCTAAATATACTGAATCTGAGCATGTTGTATTTAAACGAGTAAAGTCTTGATAGGTTGAAGCTATAATATAATAATGTGGAAGGTATGACATGTTGAATCGTTACTTTTTTAATCTAAACATGTAAATCTGTACTCGTTGAATCTAAACATGTTTAAACTATGCACTTCGAATTTGAACAGGATGAAGCTATGCTCGATGAATCTATACATTTGATTCTTGACTTGTTGAATCTATACATTGTCATAATTTTGGTGTAGATCTACACAAGTTGAAGATCACCCACGTTAAATCTAAACATGCAAAAATCTAAACAAGTTGTATCAATATAAAAGTCTTAAGCTCTTTTTTTCTGGTTTCTCTCTCTCACTCTTTTTAAAAATTATTGTTTATCTATAGATTTTTTCTTTACATTTTAAAAATATTTTTTTAAAACTAACAGGAGCTGAACGCCGCCAACTACCACCGCTGGTACCTGCTGGCTGAGGACGGGGCTATGGGCAGTAACATCGCACACAGAGGCTTCAACGATAGGAACTTGTTTGTGGCTCAAAACACTCGACCTGTGAGTGTGTTTGTGTGTGTGTGTGTGTGGGAGAGAGAGAGAGAGAGAGAGAGAGAGAGAGAGAGAGAGAGAGAGAGAGAGAGAGAGAGAAAACTATATGTACGTGCAAGAGACTGTGATAGAAAGACAGGGAGTGCAAGAGAGAGATACAGAAATCCTCACGAGACTTCTTGTACATCCGAGAGAAAATGGTAGCTAACCTGTTTAGCGTCATGAGAGAAAATCGTAACCTACTTTGTGTCGAAAACGGCTTAAATCTCCCCAGGAAGTGGCCGGAATCTCCTACCTGTACTGTGCCCCCGGCCAGTCAGAAGAGAACGGTGACTGTACCATGGAGTCTGCCAAGGTCAGCTACGCCTTTCCCCTGGAGATCATCTACCTGACCCCTCTCCACGACTGGAACCCACTGAACATTGCGTACAAGGGCGAGGCCAACACACCGGTACGCCATCTGTTTGTGCGTGTGTTTGTCTGTCTGTCTGTCTAATGTCTGTATATGTGATCTAGCTCTCTTTTATAATATGTCTCAGATATACACACATATAAACTATAATATATATAATATATATTATCTATTTTTTGTTGGTAAAGTGTTTTACGGCATTCGCAATTACATAAGGTCATATGAGCGCACGGGACACACCAAACATTTTCAATTTAAAGTACAATTTGCACACTACGGGACCTCCGAGATTTTTCCTCCTTCTCCGAGAAGGCTAGGTGTAGATCTTTCCTATCATAAGATCAGGGGTGTGGCTGAAAGACGGCAGTAAGAAGGAGCCAAGGTGTAGCAGTAGAACGGCTGCAGAAAGAGTCAGGGGCCTATGGGGG